GCTTATTCTTTCCTCCTACCTTCTCCTTGTACCCCTGTACCGTCGTCTATCGCCCCTTGTACCCCTGTACCGTCGTCTATCGCCCCTTGTACCCCTGTACCGTCTATCGCCCCTTGTACCCCTGTACCGTCTATCGCCCCTTGTACCCCTGTACCGTCTATCGCCCCTTGTACCCCTGTACCGTCTATCGCCCCTTGTACCCCTGTACCGTCTATCGCCCCTTGTACCCCTGTACCGTCTATCGCCCCTTGTACCCCTGTACCGTCTATCGCCCCTTGTACCCCTGTACCGTCTATCGCCCCTTGTACCCCTGTACCGTCTATCGCCCCTTGTACCCCTGTACCGTCTATCGCCCCTTGTACCCCTGTACCGTCGTCTATCGCCCCTTGTACCCCTGTACCGTCGTCTATCGCCCCTTGTACCCCTGTACCGTCGTCTATCGCCCCTTGTACCCCTGTACCGTCTATCGCCCCTTGTACCCCTGTACCGTCTATCGCCCCTTGTACCCCTGTACCGTCTATCGCCCCTTGTACCCCTGTACCGTCTATCGCCCCTTGTACCCCTGTACCGTCTATCGCCCCTTGTACCCCTGTACCGTTGTACCTCTACCTCAAGACCCAAGCAGCCGTTCTCGTGTCAAGAAGCCGGCCATAAGTGTGTGTGTGTTTTGGGATGATCATCTGATTGTATAATCTGGTGTCGGTCTGTCTGTCACCTTCACCACAACACTGCTAATATTTTAATATTTTTAATTTCGTATCAGTCATGGGCTGTCACCGATGCTTCACGTTATGGTAATTACCTTGCGCGTAGGCTCCCTTGTTCCTTTGTAATCACTTCCTGGTGGTGTTCGATCAATGGACCAATCCTGTAGGCGGAGTTAGTGGTTGTTAAGTCTGATTTAAATATACATTCTTAGGCAAACTGTACAGACAAGTCTGTGTTTGTACCATCAGTCCAGTAAACAAGAGGCGTTGGATTGTGATTTGTAATTCACATACACATGCATGAGTATATTTCAACAATGGGTTAGGTTAGGTTAGGTTAGGTTAGGTTAGGTTAGGTTAGGTTCTAATGCTCATCTCTAAAGCCCAAGAATGTGAGATAATATATATTGTGATTCCATTTCAGAGTTCAGAGATTCAGAGTTTCTTTCACCCTGATGCCCCTGTTACCTAGCAGTAAATAGGTACCTGAGAGTTAGTCAGCTGTCACAGGCTGCTTCCTGGGGGAGGGAGGCCTGGTCGAGAACCGGGCCGCGGGGGACACTTAAGTCCCGAAATCATCTCAAGATAATCATTGTGTGCCTGTGTATGCACATTGTCGTATTATTATAGTTTTTGTCCACACCTGAAAGTGCTCTTAAAGAAATACATAAAATTGTGTATTTTCGGAAATATTTTAGTCCGTTATATAAATGATGTCTTTGAGATGCGAGTATGGAGAGTCATCAGTATGATGACTCTCCATACTCGCATCTCAAAGTAAGTACACTCCCATGAAACGTCGTCGTCCCTTCAATTTCTAGTGTGTGGTCTGGTCAAAATACACTCCCATACTTCATACTTATTGTCACATGTGTGTTGCCTCTCTATGAGAGTATGGAGAGGCTTCACACATGTGACAATAAGAATCCGAAGATGTGTAGCACAAATCCCTTTGTTTACAACGTTTCTCAACAACTTGTCTCAATTTGTAACATTCAAGCGTTCGCCTTCACTCGACTCTTCAGCTCGTTGTCCGGATTTGCCACTCCGTAATAAAATGCAACAGTTGTGCCTAACCAGGAACGTGAGACCTTCAGCAACCAGCCAAACCTATCGAGGCTGGTAGGTAGAGAAAGTTGATTTTACAGTACATTATTTTTTTTACAAATAGGCCGCATTATTTAACGGAAAGTTCGATTCCATTAACAATGCGATGTTGAGATGAGAAAACGGGTCGTATTTAACCACTTTTCTTCCCCCCCAGCGTGAAGCATAGTTGAATTGCCCACAGTTAGTTAGTTGACTTTACATGACATATCAGTCAATTTTAACCCTTGGATAGAATGTTAACATTTATTATTGGGCTCACTGGGGGTCATAACAACTTTAAAGGGGGGAGCTCCCTAGACTGTGTGTCACCCCAGGGGGGGGTGGGAGGGGGGTCAGGCAAGTCGTGGTGCAGCGGTTAGCCCACTCGCCTCACCTGTGAGGGGACCTGGGTGCGAATCCTGGGCATGGTACGACGATTGAGCACCTTCCCTTCACTACACCCCGTCTTCCAAGCTGTAAGTCAAGACCAAGAAGTAAAACAAAAAAAAACAATATCGGTGAATAGTAGTTTATGAAACGCTTGAGACTGATGATATCTGGTTGATGTATACCACCCCCCCCCCCCTCTCCCCCGACACCTGGGATAAATTCAGATAAATCTAGAAGGGGGAGCTTTCTAAACTAGTAGAACAACTCGCCATTCATCAGTTGGGTGTTGGAAAGCAGTATCACAAGAATTCAATTTTTTTTCTTTATTATGCACCCCATACCCATCCCGTGGGCGGTGGTGTAAAGGGTTACACAGGCACAAGAAGCCGCGACATTCTTAGCCTCTGTGGTTGTAAATATCCGCCACACTGTTCTTTAATATACCATAATAATAACAACATTATAATACAGATTCTTATCATTCTTTTGTTTAGTAAATAATTCCTTGTGTTGCTTCACTGTTAAACGATTTTTTTGTATTTTTTTGCATCTAAGGAACACAGGCTAAATGAGGAGACTCTTATGTAAGATTTACTATCTTGCGAGATGGTGATATTTTTTAGTATCAGACAGACCTTCATATAGCCTAGAGTTGCTGTATAAATGGCCATATCATGTATGTTATTTGTTCTGTATTCACGGTGTTGCATTTGAAAATCATATGCCTTGCAGATGATGTATAAAATGCAAAGCCAGGTATTATTATTCTACACACGCGCAGGCAGGCACGCGCGCACGCACGCGCGCGCTCACACACACACACACACACACACACACACACACACACACACACACACACACAAACCACACACACAAGCTTCTGGAAAAGGTTCAGAAGTTTGCGACGAGGGTCGTCCCAGAGCTACGAGGGATGGGGTAGGAAGCGCGCCTGAGGGAACTGTGCCTTACGACACTGGAAAAAAAAATAAGGGAGAAGGTGGATATGATAGGAACATATAAAATACTCAGGGGTGATTGACAAAGTGGAAATAGATGAAATGTTCACACGGAATAGTAACAGAACGAGGGGGTCATGGGTGGAAGCTGGAAACTCAGATGAGTCACAGAGATGTTAGAAAGTTTTCTTTTAGCGTGAGAGTAGTGGGAAAATGGAATGCACTTTAGGAGCAGGTTGTGGAAGCAAATTCTATTCATAATTTTAAAACTAGATATGATAAGGAAATAGGACAGGAGTCATTGCTGTAAACAACCGATGGCTAGAAAGGCGGGATCCAAGAGTCAATGCTCGATCCTGTAGGCAGAAATAGGTGAGTACACACACCCGTGTATACCAGTAGATTAGTACTGGGTTAAG